GACGCGTTCGCGAGGTGTCGGGCGAGGCGGGTTTTGAGCAACCTCGATGGCATGGCTCGAGCCCGACAAAGTCACGCTCCTAAGAGAGCTCTGCGCACACGTGGCGCATATCGCAGCATGCAACCACAGCATGGACTACTACAAATCCTGGGCCTTTTGCGCAAGCTTCGCATCTATAGCCAGCCTGGCAAGCGCCTGCAACCACCCAGCAGGCTCGCGCAAGTCCATAGCGGGACTCAAGCAAGGAGGCATCTACGTCAGCGCGTTGACAGCAGAATATCCGCCTAGCCTTGCGTCAGCGCTCGCATCTCTCATGACACCCTTTTGTTCCAGTACAGGCAAGCAGTCCATCCGCATCTCAGACTTCGCTAACTTGTTGCCCGAGCCGGTGGTGCACAGACGCCCGCCGGTGTGTGATGGTGCAGGCATGCGCAGCGCCGCAGATCACTCCAAGCCCTGCAAGTCAAGCCCTCTCAATGACGTCGTGCAGCGCTGGCAAGCATATGCAGAAGAGCACTCCATCACACCGGACCTGGTCTCGCATCTCATGCAACGCACGGATTCTCATCCGCTCACTCCTCAACAGCAGATGGACATAGCAGAGATTGCACATCGGTGCCTTCACCCCACGTGCGCCGCGCACGACTGTCTGCTTGTGTCTCTCCTGGCCAGCCCTTCCGCGTTAAGCTCCTTCAAGCGTTCGCCGCACGCACGCAAGACCCAGATAGCAGCACGCTCACGCACGAAGGTGTCCCCGCTGGCATTCTTCAGCCAATACCAACCTGCGTGCAATGGCAACAGCGCCAGCAAAACCTCCAAGACGACGACCTCGATGAGATACACCTTCTGCGTTGCCAAGGCAATTGGACGCAGGCATCCAGAAACCCAGAGCTACTGCAGCAACTTGTAGCACAAGAAGTGGAGCATGGATGGAGCCATTCGCAGGCGATCGCGCAGCAGTATCTCGCACTTGGCCTGAGGGTTCCGCCGTCGGCGAGCTCAACATTGTCACCGCAGAGGGGAAAGAGCCCCGCCTCGTGCTGGACAGTTCTATCTGCAATGCCAACCAGGCATGCACAGTTCCGGAGAAGGTCTCTCTCCCGTCCAATCTAGACGTGCGCCGCACTTTCAGCCATGAAGACGCATTCGGGCATTGGATCGCATTCTCCTTGGATTTTAAAGCCGCGCATAAGTCGATCAAAGTACATCCGCGCGAGCACGGTTGCCTCCTCTTTGAGGTCGCAGGCAAATTATATCATTACATAGTTTGTCACTTTGGCGCAAAATTTAGCGCGTATTGGTGGCAACGCGCAGGGGCGCAAATGCTCCGCAGCACCCACGCATTGCTCAGCACTTTCAGCCACCGTGCATGGCTTTATGTGGACGACCTCCTCGCACTGCTATGCAGACACAGCATGCCGCAGCAAGTGACTCTCATCACATTTTTTTCTCTCCGCAATTAACGCCCCCATGAGCTGGCGCAAAGCACAGCTGGGACATGTGGTCACCTGGTGCGGCTGGACACTGCGCGCTGACTTAGAAGCATCGCACCTGGCCATAGGCAAATTAACCAAATTGCAAGAGCAGCTTGAGACCCTCGCGTGCTTAAAAAAAGCTGCCGCGCAAGCATTTTGAGCGCGCGCTCGGCCTGCTCATGTGGGCCACCAGCAGCTGCACACATCTGCGGCCACACATGGCCCCTCTCTACAAAGACCTTCACAGTGGCCGTGGGACACTTCACCAAGTGCACGCAAGAGATTGGCATCGTCTCCTTGACGCACTCTCACCGCAGGCAACTATAGCAAAGCAGCCGCTCGGCATGTGGCTCACGATCGGAGCCAAACTCTTGGAAGTCGGCTCCCAGAAAATTTCAAGCAAGGCGGATGTGTCGCGCATCCCCCCCTCGCACGCCCACAGTGGATACGCCTTGCAGACCCCTCTAGGCAAGAAATCCACCTTCGCAACGAAAGCCGCTCCGCTTTACGCTGGCTTTCATCCTGCTTTTCGCACGACCAGCTCCGCGCTGTCAGACAAGCGCCGCAATTGCACTGCCTCGCCGCCGCCGATGCCATGGCTGAAGGTTCCACAGTAGGCATTGGCGGCTGGATCAGCACATCTCAGTCCTTCGCATGGTTCTCAGAGCAATGGGACATGACCGAAGTCAGACAGCGTTGGCCGCACCTCACTAAGAACGCGCAGGCGTACATAGCTTGTTTCGAGACTATTGCACAGCTAGCGCTTGCAATTCAGCCTCCGACAACACTGCAGCAGAGTCAGGCATCAATCGCCTTTTCGCCACTTCAGAGCCCCTCAGTGGTTTCCTCAAGACTGTCGCAGAATGGTCCGCGCACAGCAATGTGCGCCTAGCACTCACCCACCTCGCTGGTGAGAAGAACGTTTGGGCAGATGAACTATAAGTCGCAACCGCCTGCATCGCTTTGCGCACCGCACGCATGAAAGAGAACGCGTTTCTCTAGCAGCCCTGGCCTCGCCACGAGGCACCGCTACTCTCCACCCGCCGCACGCGGGTTGGGGAGACGTGCACAGCACCCACCTTGAGTCGCCGCGCAAGACCGCAAAAAGAGGTAGGCTGCTTCCCTCCGCGCGCGCCATTGGCATACCTTGGCATGCACCTTTGTCGCATGCGCTTGTCTCTGCTTGACCGTGCAGGTACCCAAGCACCCCGGACGCGGAAGGGGATCTGAGTGCAGGCACACCGGGATGCTCGGAAACCTAAAGTGGGGGTAACATAATCGCCTCTGAAGACGCATTACATTTCCGAGCATCCTGTGCCAAAAAGTCCGAGCGCGCTTTACTTGCTGCTGTGTGTTAGGAAACCACGCTCAAGGAACATGCTTTGAACGTGACATGTTGTTTTTGTCATGCGTGTTTTAACAGGTCCTTAGCGTTGGCATTTCATGCACTACATGTTTCTTGCAGCGTGGGTTCAAACAGCAGGGAGACTTTTGCTCTCCCACCCACCACAACCTTTTATGCATCGCACGTGCATTCCATCGTGCACGCATTGCACTACTTTCGCATCATAAGACCGCAGGTAATAACGCAGTACAAACCGCAGGCTTTCAGCATGCATCGCTTCTTGTATGTTTCACACTACTTCTCACATCAGGGGGTAACATAATCGCCTCTGGAGACGCATTACATTTCCGAGCATCCTGTGCCAAAAAGCCTGAGTGCGCTTTACTTGCTTCTGTGTCAGTGTCTTAGGAAACCACGCTCAAGGAACATGCTTTGAACAATAAATGAAGCCCGTGCGGAACGGGTTTTTTTTCTGCGTATTCGCGAGGCTCCTAGCGCAATAGAGGCCTTGCGAGCGGGCAGATGAAAATAATCGCAGTCCTCTCTCCCTTGTTGCAGCAGATATTCCAAGCAGCTGCCGGATAACTTGATCTCATCGAGACTTCTCAATTTTGAATCCTTCAAAAAGGAACAAAGGAGAGCAAAGCCACAACTAAGCTGACGAAGCATAGAAGGTAACAACAGCTACAATAACATGAGCACTTACATTATTATGGCTTGGAAGCTTGCAAAGCGCCGAAAAAGCTGGACTACGTGTCTCTCTCTCTACTGTAGCGTCCTTGACAAGAAGCACGTTCAGGTTCACAAGCTTGGCCATTGGTCGTGTTTTGGAACAGGTGGGAATTGTCCGGTGATATTGGCTCGCTTCAGGCTTCAACGTTGCAGGTCGCGGTTGCATTCCGCGTTATTGCTTCGTCGATTCTAGGGCAACCCCGTAGCGACAGGAAGGAATTCCCTATTGTTCCCCAGTGCATGCCGCATAATTCCTGCAGTGCTGGAGGGAATTCCAGCCGCCCGCCCCCTCACCCGGAACCTTCCCCGTAACCAACATAGTAATCTCAGTTCAGCATGCTTTCATTGCCAAACCAGACATAGCAAGGTGTTGGTTTACTCGCTTGGAGAGGAGGAGGATTGCTTGCCTTTTGTGTTCTATCTGCAAATTCGTTCCGACATAATTTTGCGCCAACATGCAATGTGATGCATGACCTGTAAAGCTGCATGAGCAGTTGTCCAGTTTTGAGCTTCAGTGTCAGCGTGGAGGACTTGATGGAAGCGCTGGCCAATGGCTCAGATGAACCATGAAAACCAAGCTTGCTTTCAAGCCCACTGCTGCTGCTCACCCGCAGCGTATAAGGTCAAAGAAACTCAGGTGGGCACCTGGGGTCCTGCGGCCCTGTGGCTTCATTTGGCATCTGCGTCATCCTTGGCAGGATGACGAGTCTGAGATGCTCAAACATTGTGGGATGCCAAACAGTTCATGATCGGCTGTGGCATGGTTGCAGGATGTTGCATGGCTTTCTGGCAAGGCTGGTGGCGGGTGCTCAAAGCAAAGCAGCCGGGAGGGAAGAACGTCATCATGCAGATCAACATGCCCGAGGCCCCTTTGCACACCGTCTCCTTGTTGAGTCGGTCACGAAGGTGCAGTCTTGCTTCCCTGGCAGCTCTAGTTTTGCACAATGAACCTACCCCGGATTGCGTTGGCAAAGGAATTTGGACAGCACCCAGTCTTCTTGGGGAGTCTCTCGAATTAGTCCACCCAAGAAACGGACAAGCAGAAATCCCATATCTTGTTGGGTTTCATGCCCTCCCAAGAAATTTTGTTTGGCTTGTTTCGGCTGGTTGATGATGATGGTATACCTTGAATCTCCTGCTACTCGGTGTTGTTCTGCTTTGCAATGGGTGAAAGCAGAACGGGCGTTGCTTGGACATGTGTTAGGAGCTGACCTCGGAGTTGCGCCAGCCCGTGGAGGCAGAGAATCTCCTCGGTCCAGGGCTTCGGCTTTCTGCACTTAGCCCTCGCCGAGAGAGACAGAAAGACAGTCCGTGCCCGGCAGGCCATCTTGCAGAGCTTCCGGCTGGGTGGTTGAGAAAAAAGGATGCAAGCTGTCAGTATGTCACAATGTTCGTCAGTGTTGATCTTGGTATTCTTCATCTGTCAACTGCCCTGTGAATACCTGGAGGTGATCTGGGGCGGACAGGGCACACTGATGCGCACTGACGAGGGAGACTTCATGCGAAGATGGACGCCTGTGGTAGCAGCCTTGAGACTGGCATGTTATTCTAGATTCAAGGCGTCGGTTTTCTCAGGTGCGGCAACTGGCTGGGCCTAAGCGGTAGCGTCCTTTGCTGTCAATGTGGCACAGGTGCTTTGGGCCATTGCCCAAAGCCTCAGAAGCCTCAGCATTAGCCGAGGATGGGCCGGAGTGACCCTGCCTGACCGAATCAAAGCAGCCTTTTGCAAATTTTCAGCGCTCTGAGCTAAAACCATGCATCGCTCATTCAGGTGCTATTTTGGGAAGGTCTGGGCATGCCATAAATTGATGCGAAGGTCATGCACCAGCAACTTTGCAGTTGTGTTGCTCAGAGCCTCCTCACTCAACGCCACGCCCTGACTTTGCAGCGATGGCTGTGCACAGCAAGATGTCGAGTTCCCACCGCGCCGCAGCAGCTGCCCTTGGT